TCCCGGTCCCCGCGGCGGGGAGCAGAAGAAGAAGAAGAAGAAAAAGAGGAGAACGGCGGCTAATGCGGAAGATGGTGCGTTACGTTAACAAATACAGTCTGTCTCCCGAGCTGAGTTATTGTTGGACACCCCAGGAAGCGCTGACTTTCTTTTTCTGCCCTATCGGAGAGGATCTGTAGGCTGGAGGGTGTGAGGAGCACCGTGTATTGGTTTGGTGGGCATCTTAAAGCTCTGGAGGTGTGCAGTATTGCCCGTTTTATTCCAACTGTAACATTTGAACTCTGATAGTTACTAAACCAGTAGCAACCAATTTAATTGCTGCGTAGGGTTCTGCTTTGTAAGATTAAGATTGAGTATTTAGCTTCTTTATTGTGCAAATAGATATACTGCCTTCTGCAGTGGAGCTTTGACAAATGTGTGCTTTCTGTGCTTGAATGTGCAGCCAATACGTCTTTTTAGCAGTGCATCCAGCCTTTGGCAACATCTACTTTATTGCAAAACTAAAGTATACTGGAAAACTACCCCCAAAAAATTGCATCCCAGAAATATTGCTAGATTTGTATGTGTTTTTATACATACGTATGTATAGATACACATATACACATATATATTTGAAGTTTCTATCCCTCATAGATTTGATCTGTGTGACACTTTGCATGGTCACACAGCTAAAGAGGTTCTTGCATGCTCTGAGGCTTTGTGTTAAAAGCCTCACGGCCTAGGTTTTTAATCGCTTAAAAGCTTTGTGTTTGTGTTAAAACAAAGAGATTACATTTCACATGTTCTGAGCACAAACTGTGTTAGAAACTTAATGCATTACTAGTAGGAGAGAGTCTTATAACTCCTTTAAGGATAATGTATCTTGTTTCCACAGCAAATGAGTGTTAATATACATTAAGCTTCATTGGTTTACTATACAAAGTGGGTTGCGTGGAGGGAACTTCTAAATTTCTTTCTCTCTTCATCAGAATGTTCCACAGAAACCTTGCCTCCCCTTCTCCTGGCCCCATTCCATCCCATGAAAAAAGCACAACATTTGTAAGAGGTTTACGGACTTAAGAAATTCACTTTGTGGAAAAACTTTTAATGATGAACGTGACCTTCGTATCTCTAACTGATACTCTCTGTTCTGTACAATAACACTCTAGATACAGAAACTAAGAAATTGAAAACTGAAGAAGATGAACCTGTGGAGGTAAAGCATGAAGATAAGCAGGATTCTGGAGAGAAAGAAGTGGAAGAGGAGGAGGAAGGGGAGGATGAAGTGCCGAGTTTGCCACTAGGTGTAACAGGTATCTTCTGTCCTTTATCATATGTGTGCAAAAATCCACAGTCTAACATTTTCTTCCAGAACAAGTACAGTTTTCAAATTAGCTTTATAAGGCAGGTGTTTTAATATAGCTGACATGACCCTGGCAGCTGTACGGCTGTTACTCAGCTACTGTTCTCTGAAATTTGCATTATACACTCATTCCTATTAGTCTTAAAATTACTAGCGAAAATCTGTTTGAAGACCTATATACACACATGCTTAACTGTAGAGAAAGAGTCAATGAAGAGCAAGGTGAAGGTGTATGACTAGTAAATTTGGCAGGAGCAGCAGTGCATTCATGTTCATTTTTAACACTCTCTAGTATTCCTAGGAACACACTAATACGGAGGATTTTGTCAGTGTCTTCAGATTTTACAGTAGAAAAAAGTAAATCTCTTGGGTTTTTTTCACCTAGGTCATTTTTAACTCTGTAATCTCCGAGGATAGATGGAACTGAAGAAATAAGTTTGATTTGTTTGTTTGTTTCCCCCTCCCTCACTTCAGGTGCTTTTGAAGACAATTCTTTTACTTCCCTGGCTGGCATTGTCAGTGAGAATACATTGAAAGGCATAAATGACATGGGTTTTACGCACATGACTGAAATTCAGCATAAAAGTATTAAGCCTCTTCTGGAAGGCAGGTAGGAAATATGCATTTTAATCACTATATTGACCCCATATGTTGTGCAAATTTTTCTAGCAGGCTAAATAGATGTAATGTGACTTTCTGCAGCTAAACTGTTTGCGTTTTTGTAATATCTTCTCAAATGTTTTAAATGTTTATAGACATTAACACAAGTTCATGTTATATGTGTTGTGCGTGAACAGATACTTGGGGTAAGCTCATGGAAACTGCATTTAGCTTAGAAACAGGGAAGTCTGTTTTCACTAGTCTTGTCACTGCGTCTCAAAGAGTCTCTAGTGACATGGTGACCAAGTGCTGTGAACCACATCTGCCACCAGGCTCTTAATCCCAACTGTGCTGGTTTCCTTTGAGCCATGTTACATTTTTACATTGACAACGTTGTTCAAAATAGTATTGTTCTTTTCTCTGTAGGATCAACTAAATATTTCTCTTTCTAACTTTGTTGCACACAGGGATATTTTAGCAGCTGCAAAAACAGGCAGTGGCAAAACACTTGCGTTTCTTATTCCTGCAGTAGAGCTCATCTACAAGTTAAAATTCATGCCTAGAAATGGTAAGGCTCTTCATTTCACACTTGAATTTTACTGTGGCACAGCCATTTAGGGACGTGGCTAGGAGGGAGATTGGATGAGCTGTTGTAACTTATTCTTGTATGATTTATGGATTTTTTTTTTAGGAACGGGTGTTATTATTCTTTCTCCTACTCGAGAGCTTGCTATGCAAACCTACGGAGTTCTTAAAGAACTGATGAACCATCATGTTCACACCTATGGTCTGATAATGGGGGGCAGTAACAGATCAGCAGAAGCACAGAAACTTGGAAATGGAATCAACATCATTGTAGCAACACCAGGAAGACTTCTGGATCACATGCAGGTAGATAAAACACTGCTGTCTAATCTGTGGTGTTAAAACATAATAAAAGTGCTGTCCCTGCCTGATTCTGTATTTATTAATCTTCTAGAACACTCCAGGTTTCATGTACAAGAACTTGCAGTGTTTAGTAATTGATGAGGCAGATCGTATCTTGGAGGTTGGCTTTGAAGAAGAAATGAAACAGATCATAAAACTTCTACCAAGTAAGAAAAGAAATGTCTTGTCTTTCCTGGAAATCACTTGACTAACATTATGTCTTCTTTATGACTCAATTATTATAAGAGAAGTCATTAATTTTTATAGTTCTGTAAATGCACTTCAGAGTGATTCAGTCTTACTCTGTCCTTTTGTTCGGGTAGCTAGTATATATTACTTCATTTAACATAATTTATCTGAAGGACAGAGTCTTCATAGGCACTTTAGGAGTATAATTCTGTTCCTGTAAGATCCCTTTAGTTTAACATCTGTGTTCTCTCATTCATCTTACCCTGCCCATTTATTTTGTACAATTAATTTTTTTCTAAGTCTTAAATATAAGGAAGACGGTCTTCTGGCCTGCAGTTTGAATTTTCTTTATATTTTCAAGGACGGTGTCCTACAGAAGTTTGAGTATTTACCTTAAAAATTTCTTTTTCTAATTTTTCATTTAGTTATTCCTTGTAATTAAAGTATAAAACAAATTCTCAGAGTCAACAAGGTTCTCCCTTTAACTTCCAAAATACAGGGAAAGAAACATGGAAATAGTATATAAAAAATCAGTGATAAGTATTTTGATAACTAAACATCTTAAATACTTAAAATACAGATTTGCATGTTTAAAATTAGGTAACTAATCAATAACATCCTGTGAAGAATCTTAATGACCAATTCTAAAAGCAGAAAGGAAAGGAAGATCAGGAATATTACAGACAAAGTAAATTTTACTTTACGGGAGTTAAACTTGTTTACATTATATTATGAAATTATATTTTAAAACAGGTACTTGAAAATAGCATCTCAAAAGTGGTGGCATTGATTGTTCAACAAGAACAATTGCTACTGTTCCTGTGGTTGTGAAATGGAACAGGTTAAGTTTGCATTTTCCATGTGTAAGAAGGAATTGTTCCAGAGTTAGGACAGGTACTTGAGGTGAGGGGTGACAGGCAGGTGGGAGACTTCCTGCACCCGCTCTAAGACCATTGGAGTCACGTGGATGTACACCCACCTCACCAAACAGCATGCACAAATGTATGTTCTAAACTGAATTTGCAAGGCAAACAGTAACAATGCACTTTAGTTTTGGTAAGTTTTTTTCTTGCACAATCTCTAGCATGATTATGTAATTTTTTTAAAAAACAAAAGCATTTTAATATTCATGGGAATAAAATCAATTTATAGTTAGAATTACAAGGTCAGTCTGTATTGAAATCATTGTTTTAAGTCTAAATTGGAGTGCAACTCCAACTGGGCAGCCTAAGTAAACATCTTGTACAATCCATAATACAACTACATCTGTCTGTTTTCCATTAGCAGTATGTTTGAATTAGAATTTAATTGAAAAAAGGCGAAGACTTGCTCAGGGAAGTTTGCAGCTTGCGATTTTATGGACTTGTTGAATTCTCATTTAAAAAAATGAGGCTGTCTTTCAAAATAAGTATCTTTTCAGAGCGCAGACAGACAATGCTTTTTTCTGCTACACAAACCAGAAAGGTGGAGGATCTGGCAAAGATCTCCCTGAAGAAAGAGCCACTGTATGTTGGGGTTGATGATAACAAGGAGACAGCAACAGTAGATGGTCTTGAACAGGTAAAACAAAGGTTATTAAAAGGGGTCTGATCTGTGAATATACCAAGTCCTATGTGTTTTTAACTGGGTGGTACAAGTGCTGTTCTAAAGGATGTTTACCATCCCAAGGGGCGTTATTCAGTCAACTATAGTAAGTTACATGGATCTAGTCGATGTTTGCCGGACAGATGATACAAAACCTCATGAAATAGTAATATACTTACACCTGTCTGCTCCTATCTGTATTACATACCTAAGCTCCAGTTGTCTTTCTAACTGTATTTTCCATGTTACTGACTATATATATATATATATATAATTTAGATATATTTCACTGTTCCTGCTTCAGATAACAGCTAAATGAAGTTGCACAGCAGTTTCTGCATTTGTGCAGTTGGCGTGATGAGTGTTGTTTCAAAATTACAAATAGCTATGTGTTACCTTAAAAGATTAAACCAGTAGCAAGATTTCTGTCAAATAAAATTATTGAAAACATAAAACATGTTAAGAACCCTACACAGTTTTTCCATGCCTAATGTCAGCAATTCAGACTTAAAATTAATTTTTATTGTATAAACTAATTACTTTTCACTGAACTTAATTTATTCTCAAAACTAATGTAAAAATTACTTATATTTCAAGTTAGTACAGTAAGTTTCTTGCCAAGTTCATCATCATTAGGAGTTTCATATACCAAGGTCAGGAAAAGACAATAAAACAAATAGTTTGCCCCACTATAGCTGGAAAAATAAACTATGTAGCGTTATTTGTTTCACAACATAACAGCTCCCTGATTTAGCTGTATTGCTGAAACAAAAGTTTGTTCCATACTGCTGTATTTAACAATATTTAATTTTTTTCCAGGGGTATGTAGTGTGTCCGTCTGAAAAAAGGTTCCTTTTGCTCTTCACATTCCTAAAGAAAAACCGGAAGAAGAAACTAATGGTATTTTTTTCATCTTGTATGTCAGTGAAGTACCACTATGAACTACTCAACTATATTGATCTGCCTGTTTTGGCCATTCATGTAAGTATTTTATTCATTGGTTAATTAATATGATGGTACCCGTAAGTTGCTACTGACCTTACGTTTGCCTTGTTGATTTCAGTCCCATTTCTAGTAAACAGACACCCTGCTCTCAAAACTGATGATGAACTTGATCAGTCTGTAGAGGAAGGAGATAAAGCAAAGGCTGTATAATAACAGCACTTCAACATTATTCATCTTGCTGTTTTCCAAAGCAGGGTTGAATATTGATACTTATTTTCTGTGTGTAGAAAGTTTTCTGTTTTCTTCCAATAAATGACATAAGTAAAATGGGAAATTAGATTTCAGCTTACAAGTTGGCAGATTTTTTTTTTTTTTTGGTTGATATTTCATCCTTAATGTGTTTCCTTTAAGGGCAAGCAGAAACAAACGAAACGTACTACAACATTTTTCCAGTTCTGTAATGCAGAATCTGGAATACTGTTATGCACCGACGTAGCTGCCAGAGGATTGGATATTCCTGAAGTTGACTGGATTGTCCAGTATGACCCTCCAGATGACCCAAAAGTAAGTTAAGAAAAAAATCTTTGTAGCAACAAATCAGATCTAGCTACAAACATAGTTGTGGAGAAAAGCTGAAACTCCTGTTTGACAGAGGTCAAAATTCAGCCTTCTTCATATCTAGCAGCTGATTTTTTCCATTTCCATCTCCTAGGAAGTGCTGCTAAACCCTTCATTACCTTTTTAAGAGTTGCTTTTTAACACATTTTTTTTTAGATTTTTAAATGAATTTAACAGTGCAGTCAGCTCAACAACAAAACATTTCTTTGCAGTATGTGTTTACATATGCATCCCCAAGTCTCCTGAATGGCTTTTCCTGTAGAAATTCTTTTATTTTAAAATTAGTATTCTTCTTGGAATTAATGTCCAGTGTAAACAAGCAGAACTCAAAAAAGTCAGAAATTTTGACAAATTTGCAGAGCAAATACACAAAAGCAAAGTTTAATTTTCAGTTGCAACAGACTGAGATTTTTTTACTTGGGGGAAAAAAAAGGTAAAATACTTTTAGGCAGGAGTTTCTTTCTCAGCTTAATTATGCTTTGCATCTTCAGCACTTAGTTTCCCTCATCCATGTACCAGTGCAAAGAAAGTCTTTAAAAATAATGAATGATGCATTGCACGATACTAATGTTCAATTTGGGCTTTTTTTGTGAAGCTGTTTGATTATTACATGTTTGAAAGACAGGCTGGACTTGCTGTTTCTTATTCTTTCCCAAAGGAATATATTCATCGTGTTGGTAGAACTGCCAGAGGCATAAATGGCAGAGGACATGCACTGCTCATTTTACGACCAGAAGAACTGGGATTTCTTCGTTACCTAAAACAAGCCAGGGTAAACTTACATCTAGATTTTTTTGTTCTTGCTGTTTTTACTGTGCAAGAGGTTTTTAAAGGTAAAAATTCTAATGATTAATCAAACACTTTATTTTTTTAAGCAAAAAAAACCAATCTGTGCTTAGAAAAACATTAAACTGAATATCTGACTTTAAATTTAGTCGGCAGTGCAAAGGTAAATACTGTGTGTAATCTGTTATCTTGCAGGTCTTTTTCTATTTGTGTTAGGTCTTACATGCATTCAGTATTTACACGGTATAAATAATTTAAAATTTTATTTTGTTTAAGGTACCACTAAGTGAATTTGAATTTTCTTGGTCAAAAATTTCAGACATCCAGTCTCAGGTATGAAATGAGTTTATGCTACAGCTGCTCTGAATATCTGCTTAATAATTTATATGGAGAATGTTTTATTCTATAACGACTCAAGTTTAGAAATGTGTATGCTGCTTTGGAAAAGTTCCTGTAGATGATTACTGTGCAGTAAATCTTCCTGCTGCATTGTCCCTCTATGACATTAAAGTGATAAAATGTTTTGAAACTTAAGATGCATTTTAATATCCAGTACTAAACTGGCATCAAAAAAAAAATTTCCTTGTAACAATTATTTTTTTTGCACAGTGATGTAAACCTGCTTTCAGCTTCTGAACAGAACGTTCTTGTCTAGCACAGCAAACAGGGTTTGGGTGGCTTTTACTGAATAGTTACGTGTGTTCAGATTAATTGTGAGTAACATAGGTCTTATAAAATTATTTACTCAGACTTCAGTGTGCAGAAGGAGATCCAGTACCAACGCTTTGAAATGCTAGTATATGCTCCAGATGTATTTTTAATTAGCTGTTGTTAATAAAGCCCAGCATCAGCTAAACTTGTGTTGTGCTCCAGTGCTATGAAAATAGCCATGGAGCAGGAAGGTGAATGGAATGGCACAGATAGTTGTGGAGATGTGAATTTCCACTGTTCTTTAGTTCTGTGAATCGTTCTTTTGATAAGAGCTCTATAAAGCTTCTTTGCAGTAACTAAAATTTGAAATAGCAAGTAAAAAAAAGGTAGAAAAGTATAAAAGCAGTGAAGCCAGTCCTTGCAGAAAGAGGTTCCTAGTTAATAATAATTAGGAAGTAATGACGTCTAATGTAATTTATTTTTAGGGTACTGAATTGATGTACGTTAAGCATACAATTAATGAATTGATGTACGTTAAGCATACAATTAATGAATTGCTGTATGTTAAGCATCAAATAAGATGGATCTAAAGAGTATGAGAACAGCACACAACGTCTCAGTCCACACTAGTGCACCTGCATTTTTGTCTTAGTCTTACCTATTATGATGTAAATCAATTGTGGAATAAGCAATATTAATTCCATGTATGGAATGAGATGGAAGGGTACAGTTTAGAAGTCGGACTTAAAAGTATACTGTCATTGCCCATTAATTCTTAATACACATTTTCACAGTGTAACTGCAGTTGTACGCTCCTTGATTAACTTACTTGGGACCACCCAATTTAATATATCTGTAAATTTTCATATTGCTGAGGCTTTGTACTGTAATTCGGCTTCAGGCTTTTTTGTCCCTCTGTTTGTTTCTAAAAGCACTCTGATACATGTATGTGCACTCTGCCGTCTCAGGGCAATTTTGCTGAAGTGAATAGTGAATGTCATTGCAACTCACACAGTAAATAATTTGCTTGAATGTAATTTATACACTTGTTAAAGCTATAACTAGATATGTCTTTTTGTTGGTTTGTTTGGTTTTTTTTTTCCCCTCATCAGCTGGAGAAACTGATTGAGAAGAACTACTTCCTTCACAAGTCAGCCCAGGAAGCATACAAAGCTTACATTAGAGCTTATGACTCCCACTCTCTGAAGCAGATCTATGATGTCAATAACTTGGATCTTCCCAGAGTCTGCCTTTCATTTGGTTTTAAAGTTCCTCCATTTGTTGACCTCAGTATCCTTTTACTGCAGCATTTCAAAGCTGCAATTCTCCTTTATAAATGGAGATGTTTCTAATGTTTAAAAGTTAAATGCAACTTACTGAAGTTCCTGTGCTACTTCAAATTCTGATTAATTTTTTTTTTGCTGTTAATCACAAAAATGCATCATGCTCCAACAACAGCTTATCAAAGAAAAGGGTAGCAGATACTGGAGTGCATACGTGTTCTAGAGCACTGTTGTCTCCCATGCAAAATTATTTTCATTGAAAGGTACATGCTTAATTTTAAAAATCATGGAATATTGAAAAAGGGGGCAAGAGAATGAAATTGACTGTATCTAGATTACTGTTAAACCTGCCAGTGGATGGAATTTGAAGCAGTAGTACTTTGCTTTGCTGGGTCAAAAACTGGCTGGATGG